TATGACTAATTTTTAGTTAATTTCTAAGTATAACATAAGGGCTGAAGTTCTCTTGTCACATGTGGATATCCAGTTGTTCCAGTGACATTTGTTTAAAAAACTATATACTTTACCCCACTGAATTATGTCAGCACCTTTGGGAAAATCAATTGACCATGTATGTGTATATCTACTCATGGACTCTTTACTTGGTACCATTGATATTTTGATCCTAACACTGACAACATCATCATCATTTTAATCTTGAAATCATAGAATAAGTTCTCCAGCTTTTTTCTTTTTCAAAATTATTTTGCCTGTTCTAGCTATTCTATATTTCTATATAAATTTTTGTTATCAGCTTATGAATTTCTACCCAAAATTCTGCTCTGATATTCATTGGGATTACACACAGATCCATTCAAAGGAGAACTGGCGTCTCAGGAAAACAAAAATGTATCTATCGTCATCTATTTAGGTTTTATAAATTTTCTGTCAGTTGTACACTGGTCTAACACATATTTTGTTAAATTTATCTCTAAGTATTTCATATTTTGGTATGTTATATTATTGTCCATTGCATATTAAATTGCTTTAAAACCATAAACAATTATATCAGAGTTTCCAGAGGAACAGGTTTCAAGATCTGCTTTGCCAGGTGGTTCTGACAAGGTCTCTCATGTGTTTGTATTCGAGCTGTTGACCAAGGCTGCAGTCATCTCAACACTGGAATAGAACTGAAGGGTCCACTTCTAAGGTCACTCCTGTCGTTGGTAGCAGGCCTCAGTACTTGCCGACTGGAGGCTTCAGTGGGATTTTTAATAGCGCTACTCATAAATGGCAGTTTGCTTTTCTTAGAGACAGTGAACAAAGAGGGAGCTAGGAAGAAAGAAATTACCTAAGATGGAAACTGCAGTCTTCTTTCTATAACTTAATTTTACAAGTGACATACTATCTTTTCTACCATGTCCTATAGCTCACACAGACCAACACTAATAAAATAGGGGAGAAGATTACATGAGGTTGTGAATACCAGAAAATAGAGATAACTGGGATATATCTAGGAGGCTGACTGCCATAGATGTACAAACAGAATTTACAAATTTCACTTTCCAAATATTCATGGCTAGTATATTATCATTTAATTTCATATATTTACCTGGTATTCTACGAGACTGTTAAATTCTCTTTTCAGATCAAAAAGCATTTTTTCAACTCACTAGCACTTTCTATACAAAGATCATACTGTCTACATCTTCTTTCTCATTCTATGTACCTTTTATTTCTTTTTGTTGCTTTATTGCACTATCTACATGACCATTAGTACAATGTTCAATTGAGTGGCAAAAGCATATCTTTGCTTCGTTCTCAGTGTCAGGGAAGAACTACTCAATCTTTCATCATTACGTAAGATGTCTGCTGTAGGATTTTCATGTGTAGTCTTCATAAAGTTGAAAAATTTGCTTTCTATTCCTAGGCTGCTAAAGTTTTAAAATTGGAATGGGTAGAGAATTATGATAAACTTTTTATCCATCTACTGAGATAATCATGCATTTTTAAAAAACTGATTAATATGGCAAGTTATATTGATATATTTTCTATTATCAAACCAACCTTTCATTCCTGGAACAAATTCCACTTAGTGTTCATTGCATTTTCCTTTAATATATTTCTGAATTCAGTGTGCTATTATTCAGGATTTTTACATCTATCATTGTAAGGTATGTTGGGCTGTAGTTTAGTTCCCATACTGTTTCTGTCTGATTTCAGTATTTGAGTAATAACACTAGCCTATTGGTATGATTTGTATAATGTTCCTCTTAAGCTTTTCCTCGATTTTTTGAATTCTTATTTCATCATGCTTTCCTGCTTGGTTGATTCTATCTTCCTTCTGGTCCACTGTATTGTTTTGAGACTCAGATTCCTTCCTTTCACTATTGGCTCTCCTCCGCGTATCTTCCTGCATCTCTTTTATGGTAACCTGCATCCTTTCATCTAAATTGCGCCCAAAATCAACCAATTCCGTGAGCTTTCTGATCACCAGTGTTTTGAACTGTGCATCTGATAGATTGGCTATTTCTTGGTCGCTCAAAAGGATGAGTTCTGGGGGACTGATCTGTTCTGTTGGATACATGCCTTATGTCTTTCCCTGTCTCTGGTTGCTCTTGTTACGGTGGGGGGCGGAGCCTTAGGTGTTCACCGGGGCTGGGCACCCTGGTCGCTAGATTGTGACGTTATATGTGTGGGCAGGGGCGGGAGTGGGGGGGGGGTGTTGTCAATGGCGGTAGTTCCGTTCTCCCGGGCTCAGGCCCTTCCTTGGGATCCTGGGCTGCGAGCTCTGCCCTGGTCCACAATCGCTGCCCCACAGGGTCTGCCAGCTGCAGCTTGCGTACTCAGGGATCACCACTGCGTTCTTGCGCCCCAGATGGCTGTCGTGCCAATTTCACGCCAAATTTTCCCCGACCTCCGCGCACCGCTAACCCGCTCCAGCCCCGCGCCCACCCGGCTCGTCGTCTCCTACCGGTCTGGATGTACGGGTTTACTTCAACTTCTTGGCTGTCCGACTTCCATTCAGATAAATCCTGTCAGTTCTGAGTGATATTCTATCTGTAAATTATTGTTGTTCTAATCTTGGTTGTGCGAGGAGGCACGGTGCGTCCACCTATTCCTCCATCTTGCCGGAAGTCCTGATTTGTATAATGTTCCTTACTTCTGTATTTTCTGAAAGACTTGAGAACTGGTATTCCTTTCTTAAACGTTTCTTCAATAAAGTTCATTATTGAAGCTGTCTGGGTCTGAACTCTTTTGTGTTTTAATGTGAAGATTTTACTTATGAATCCAATATCATTAACAGATTTTCTCTTCAGACTAATCAGATTTTCTATTTTTCCTTGGGTCTATTTAGATGACTTAGCTGATATTGCATGAATTTGTCCATTTCATCTAGTTGAACTTATTGGCATAAATGTTTATAATTTCTCCTCAAACTTTTTGGCAGCTCTCTCAGTACGAGGAATTTCCTCCTAAATTCCAAGCTGCTTGCTAGTCCTCAAGTTTGTCCTCTGACACTTCAAGACAGCATGATTATGGCTTCTGACCCTGAAGCTATGGGAACTGGGAAGCACTTTGTGCAAAACACCATACATTCAGATTTCTCACCCACCACTATGCTTAAAGAATAACTCTCCTCTGGTTTCTGCTTCTTTTTGGTATTCTTTGGTTTTCTAGTCTTTTGGGTCTTTCAGTGCTTTCAGTTATTTTTACATTTTTTTCCAGGTGTTATCATTTTGCCTGAGGATTCACCTCAATGATTTACCATTAGCTAAAGCTGGAAACTAGTAGTCCTGATTTTTTTAAAAAACAATCTCCCAAACTTAAATTTATAATTTTATATATTACAAAATTTTAGTTATTGGTAGTAATATAATGGAAAATGCAATAAACTATCAAGAATAATGAAAAAGCTGCAACTTCCAGAAATATAGAAATAAATTTGCACAGGAACACAGATAAATGTACAATTTCCTCATGCAGCGTATTCTGAAATTAGCACCTTCCTATTCTGGACCCATATACACTAAAACGGAATACAGTCAAGCCTAGGTTTTCAGGCTAAGAGACATGAGAATCAACAAAGCAAACAAACTGCTTGCAATCACATATTTAAGAGTTAAAAACAATTGATTTAAGCTCCCCCAAAAGATCTATAGACTGTTTTAAACAATGTTCCATGGACTACAATATTTTAAAAAGGAAGATAAATAAATGGAATAAGGATTTGTATGCCTTTTAGAAATAAAAGCACTAAAAAGAGTAACATTTAAGGATGGCTTCTTAAAAATGAAATACTTACCTTTATTCTTTCTAAAGTGAGAAAATTTATTAAATAATATTTTTCAAAATGCATTACATATTTTCTTATACCAAAACTGCACAACTAAGAACTAAAAAATAAAAATAAAAAATAAACAATAAACCCATAACATTTGCTTTTAGGAATTCCACTCATTGGTAACTGAATACTAAAATTTCATGGAATTTCAATCACAGAATTTTGAAATTAGCAAAGTATATGTGTAGTGAATTGTAAAAAGCTCAGAACAGAATATATAAGTAATTTAGGTCCATTATATGCAAATTTCTGAGTTAAGCTTTAAGTATTTTGTAGTATCCCATTATTTTCGCTTTATCAATAGCCAAATAACTATGATCCCACAACAAGCAAAAAAAAAAAAAACAAAAAAAAACACACACATTTTCATGCAGAATGAGTATAACAAATAAAAAAAGAGGAAATGGAGACCAAGAGCATCTTTTTACACCTATTTAAAAAAAAACACACCACTACTGTTCTGTGTTTCTTCCTTAAGCCAAACCATTGTGATAGCTTTGCTCTAAATCAAACATAGGTAAGTCTGATAGGAGGACTGCAATCAAACTGATTTACCTATGATACATAAAAGCAACACTGTTGATGCTGAAATTGAAGCATAAGCAAGCATAAATACCAGCTGGAATCAGAAAGTTGCAAAGGAAACCTTAGGCAGTGTTGTTGCAGACATTGATCATCTTGATTATGATGATGATTTTACAGGTGCATATATATGTAAAAACTTATCAGACTATGGTTCTGCGTGGAGTTGATTTTACCTCAATAAAATTTTGATAAAGCTTTAAAAAACAGTCAGCAGGAAAGAAAATCACTATTCATTTTTATCCATTACTCAGCTACTTTAACACAAAAAATGAAAACCAACTTAGAGTCTGTAACAAAGTGTGATTAACAACTCCAGGATAAGAGGCAAATAATCATTCAAGTTGAAAGAACAGTCATATCAAATATTTTAAGTGAAAAAAAGAATAAAGTTTCAATGAAAATATCCTGAGACCAATGGGTCAAAGGATTCTGGAGGTCACATTGCCTCCATAATTTATGTCCCACCCTGGTGTAGAAAGCTCCTGGTTTCCATTTCCAAATGGATATGTGATGACACAGAGTTTATCAGGATTTGCAGCCTTACTGTACTTCTCTTCCTTGCACCTCTGCAGAATCTCTAAACTCCTCTGGTGGACTGGATGTTGGAGAAAGCTAAAACTATCCATACTTTTCAAAATTGCACATGGCGCTGTATCATCATGTCCTTAGGAAGCAAAACAAAAAAATAGAGAAAAGAAAAAGACATTATGAGCCCAAACCAACAGAGAATCAAGGACAATGCTGCCAACTATCTTAAAGAGTATATAAAAATATATCAAATGATAAGGATTAAAGGTGAATGATTTTTCCAATTTGAGGAAATTATACAATAATAACAGGAAAAGCTAAAGGTCCTTTTTAGGTATTCAAAATATGCTTTTCAGTACTCAAAGTGTTGTGAGTTAACACTATACTAAAAATTTCTAATTTTATTAAAATACTAGGGAAATTTCAAAAATAACTAATACGGTTCAGTTTTTTTTAATGGATTCATTTTTATCAGGTCTGAAATATAATTAGCATATAGTTGGCAACAATGAAAGAAACACTGATGACTCCCAAAGAGGAATTTACCCAAAACAATTTACCAAAAGCTGAACAATTTTGTCACAAATCTTGCAATTAACAACACTTGTAGGAATTCCAACAAGTGTATCAATGTTGAAAGAGAAGAAAGCACCATAGAGCAGGAAAATCCAGCAGCACTTTTGTATTTATAAATCAAAAACAAATGGAAAAATCTGTACCTCACCAGAGACAGAATCAACTATTGGTAGGAAAGAGAAGAGAGTACTTGCAAATACCAGAACTCTGTATTAGTGCTACTGAAGAGTGAATCACTCAAGGAGTAAGGTAGGGGGTGGGGGGCAGATTTTAGTACCATAATTATTAGCAATAAATGGATTTAAAAGAGAATATAGGTTTTCCAGATTTGGGGGGACTTAAGTATCATTTACTCAAAGAACATCTCTAGAGTTAGGACATTAAGTTCAAATTCATGTACATTTGCCTTTAAAATACAAAAGTGAATAGTTAACAACAGAGAGAGGCAAATTAATGAACTTAAGTTCCACTGGTGCATATTTACTATATAATTAAGAATGAAATACTATCTATGAATAGTTCTCAAGGAAGAATCTTTTTAAAAATATTTTATTTATTTATTTTTAGAGAGAGGCAAAGGAAAGGAGAGAGAGAGAGAAACATCAGTGTGTGGTTGCCTCTCATGTGTCCCACACTGGGGACCTGGCCCACAACCCAGGCACCTGGCCTGACTGCGAATTGAACTGGCGACTTTTGATTCACAGGCCTGTGCTCAATCCACTGAGCTACACCAGCCAGGGCTCAAGGAAGAATCTTTTAAGAAGTTAAACAGAGGTAGAGTATTCAAAGAGGTCTGCAAAGCATAGTTTAGTCTAACTGTAATTCCTTAAACTGTATTTCTATATCCAGAAAACACCCCCTCAGCTAAGGAGATGGAATTTTATGACACCATAATATGAGATAATAATACACATATAAATACCAAACTTTTAAAAATGATTTTGAAAACATTTTCACATCCATTAATTAAAAAATGTAAGCCATTAAGGCACAATCTCATTTACCCAATTTAGAGAGGCCACAGCTGCAAATGTTCAATGTTTCTAAAAGACAGAACTATTACCAACTTACACTCCAGTAGAAGTATTCTGTTCTCATTATTATCAATAATCCCTCCCTTGGTAGGCTGCTTGCATTAAGAATGCCTAGAATCAGACTAGTCTGCACTTGGTTAATTAGGGGAGAGGGGAGATACTAGGTGAGGGGACAAGTTGAGAACAAAAATACTTGGTGAGTTGTACTCATACTTCATCCAAATTGTAATTTTAAAAAGTTATCACCAGACTTTCAGGCCCTTCAAAAGTTACTTGATAATCTGATAGTCAGAAGTATGGTTATGGTATTAAAGTATTTTATACAAAAGTTCAGGATACTAGATAAACTATCATCTAGTTTTAAAAAATCACTCAACATTACCATAGCCACTGTATTCTATTTTCTATTTTATCTAATAAATTGTGGCAATGCGATTTGGATATGGGTAATTTTCTTATCTGTGACTGTTTTGTGTCTCACTATCATGCCTTGTTTAACTCCCATTCTGTTCTTTCATTCTGCTTTCAATGCCTGCTTCTAACTCTTTAACTATTTTAAATCTTCTTTTATAGACTACAATAACTTCTTCCAAACCTTAAAGTGATATTCCTTTTATTTGCTGTGTGTACCAACTCCCCATCTAAGTTTTTTGGTTTTCTTGGATAGTTTGTAAGTACATTTTTGGTAGGGGTTATTTTCTAAAGAAATCTCAGAAACTCATAAAAGAGGATTATTCAGTGTTTGCTTATGCTAGTTCCTGGTCTAATTTTGATCATTTTTCTTTTCTTTTTTTTTTTACTGATGAAATAATCTCATGTACCCTCTTCAGCAATGTTAGGCAACTGACCCTTTTGCTGATCCCAAGTCTGGAAAAGGACAACCAATCACTAAAACTACTAGGTTCAGTTCATTTGACATGTGGTTGGTCATGCATTTCTAGTGTATAAGTCAATAGAGCAATCATGACCCAGAGGTGAAGCAAAGCCATATAAATAATTACAAAAACTCTATAGAGGATCTTGAGAGAAAAATTCCCAGACAGATGCTAAATTGGTCAATTAAACTAGAACTTCGCGAACTTTTCTATACAGTCTTGCCAGATTAGTTTCTGTATCATTAAAAGAAACAGGAACATTTCACAGATGCGTGCCTTTGCCATTGTCAACTCCAGACATATTAAACAGAAGACCCACCACTACCATTCCCAGTAGTAGATTTCATCTGCTGCTCAACGTGCTCCAGCTGGAAAACCAGAGTTCATTAGTGTGTTGAGACTTTCCAGCATGATATGCTTCTGGATGAGAGTCTCAGTCAGCTGATGGAGTCAACTTTCTAACTTTGACTGCTATTGCTTAAGACAGTGATTTTCCAACCTTTTTCATCTCATGGCACACATAAACTAATTACTAAAATTCTGTGGCATACCAAAATATATATATTTTGCCAATCTGAAAAAAAGGTATAATTGTCATTCATTCACACCAGACAATTATTGTTTACTGTTGGGTTGTTGTTTTTTTTTTTTTACAATCTAAAGGAAAAGAGGTCAGTGCCCCTGACTAAGTAGTCAGGTATTGCATGTTTTAAAAATTCTTGTGGGACACCAGTTGAAAACCACTGGCTTAAGGTTTTATTGGTAAGCTGATGGCTGATTTTTTTAATTTCTTCTTCTCTATCTTTAATTCTGTTTTGCAATGTGTTCTTTGTTTGACATAGATCTTCTATTCTGCCTTTAGCTCTTTAGATGTTTTATGTCCAGGTATTTTGGTCTTGCAGATCTTGTACGAGTTTTCTTGTTATTCTGCTTCACTAATGTGCTGAGCCACCGCATCCTGTAATTCAGATCTCAGCTGATGTATCTGAACCATCAGCTTCTGTATTTCTTCCCTTTGCACCTCTTTTTCATGCAGTTCTTTTAGCTCCATGCTATTTAGCAATATTGCTATCTAGGCCTTCAAAATCAGATCCTTCTTCTAAGCTGTTCATCAATTTCTCATTAGATTGGAGTGTTCTAGTAGCTTTATACTTGTAGTCAATTAATTACTGTTTAAAGGACTCCAAGCTGAATTTACACATTTTGATTTGCTGCTGTAGCACATCAACTTTCTTCTTCTCATCTGAGTATTTTCTGCCAAAGTAACTGCTTCTGCCAAATTCTGATCTTTCACTTCCATTTTATTCAGGCATGCAGCACAATGATTCTACATTTGTTTATAGCTCTTCTGGCTCTCTCTGAGTGGCAACCACTTCATGCAGTCTCTTGTGATTTTTCACTGTTAGGCTTCTAATGCTTTTGTGTGAGAATTCAGTAGCTGGTCAGCTTCTTAAGAGTCTCACTTTCAGGATAGCTAACTGGGAATCCATTGTACCCACCACATCAGTCAGGTCATCTTTTGGGCTTAAAGTACCTGAGTTATTCACTCTTTGAATGATCAACATTCCACTTCTCAACTCATGCTCTTAGTTTAATTCTTCTTGAGTTTCCTTGGCTCTCTGACATAATGAGGCCATTTCTTGTTAAAGACTGAACTTCATTCCTCAGCAGCTAATTCGCCAGTCGAAGATTGGAGAGTTCATATAACTTGCCATCATCAGCACAACAATGGGAAATTTTAATAGTGGGGATTTCTAACCCACCTCAACATTCATTTGACATTGTTTCTGTAAATGCTGATTCTGACTAACATGTGATGTGTACATAAACAGCATGTTTGTAAGAATCCTAGAACTATTTTCAAAAGATACCAACGCCAACATTCAGGCATCCAAGCTCTATAAGGTTTGCTGACCTTTGTCTGTGATGACATGAAGCCAGGATGTCTAAACCAGGATGACACACATCTCACCATCACTTACCTTATCGGAATGGACTGAGTTAGCCTGCACTTAGAGAACTTTTCAACTCCCTCCCTTGATCTCTTTGCTCTGCTTCCCCTATTCCTCCTTATAAAAACCTCTGCCTACATTGAGATGTTAAGATGGGCTTTGAGACATGAGTACCCCATCTTCCAGATGGCTGGCATCTGAATAAACCACTTTCCTTTACATCAGCGCCTGTCTCTTGAGTATTGGCTTTTGAAGCAGCACACAGCTGGACCTGCATTCAGGAATATCCACTAGGTATTGGGTTATGTTTAGTGCAGGAAGCATCTGATGATACAGTTTTCTTTAAAGAACCTTCTTGGACTTCATGACCAGAATCTGAATTATTAGAGGCTTCATGGCTTTTCTTTGCTGGTTTTAATGGTGGTTTGCTGGTGTTTATAACACTGACATTTGTTGTCCAGGAAAAAGAAGGACAGGTGTCTTGCCCCACCCCCACCCCCTTTTTTCCCACCCTCTCGTAGGCTCCTTCTGTGAACTATTAAGAAAATTAAACAGCAGATCATCACCAGGTTCTTTTTTGGTTTTTTTTAATATTTTATTTTTTATACTATTACAGTTGTCTCAATTTTTCCCCCTTTGCTGCCCTCTCTTTTTCTTTTTTTTTAATTTCCAACCAAACTGAGATGAAAGCCTAGGGACAGATGTGTTGCAACAAGATGGGAGGCTTCCACTGATGTGCCAGGTCCTGCTTTCACATTTGTGGTGCCAGCTAAGATGGTAGATTTTTTTATTTCTAATGTTATCAGCTGCTCAGGCAATGTAATTAGCTTTAAACCCATTCTAGTAAAGTCAAATTTGTATTTTGGTGGTGAAGTTCAGGATAGTCAGTATTTTTGCTACACATGATGCTGCTGGTGGTCTCTTTTCTATTGAAAGCTGTAGCAGCCCCTTAATCTATTTGGTTTAAAATATCATCTCCCTTTCCAGCAAGATCAGCAAACCAAGACTAGATGGCAGCAGAAAAACCCTATATACAAACCACAGGACTCTGGAGAAACTATACCACAGAAGTGACACCCCTGGGCTGCCTCACTGAGCAGCTGGCTGGGAGAAAACCCAGGCTGAGAAGTTTCCTCTCATACCTGCCATGGCCCTGCCACAGCCCTACTACTCTTGTGGAAGATGTAGAAGGGCAGTGTGGACCCCAAAACAGAGTGGCTGTTGAGCTGCCTCAATGCAGCTCCTGAGCTGCCTTGGGAGCCAAGAAATTGTTGGAGGCCCAATAATTTCTTAATTTGAGAATATTCACCAAACACACAGCATATATTCAGACCCCATATGCATGCATGGTGAAAATATGAGGCACTGATTTTTTTAAAGGTAGCTTAAAAAAAACTTATCTAAGGCATAATACATATTGTTAATGTTAATTCTCTAGGCAAAAACATCAGGAATAATTTTTCAATTATCTTTTCAGTGACTTAAACCTTTTGAAGCTCCTAACCACATAAAAGAGGTTTAATCCAACCACCCCTATATCATTCAAACCTGAAACTTTGTCTTCAGTCCTGTAATAGGTTCTACAATGCCATCTCCCAGGACTTGGGCCATTTCTTATATTTTAGTGTATGTGCTGCTGAAGCGCGCACTTAAAGGTATATTTCACATACAGTAAAATCCAACAATCTCAAATATACTGTTTGATGAGCTTAAACAAATATTTGTACCCATGTAATCCTCAATCAAGATATAAAATGTTTTTATCATTTCATCAGGTTACTTTATGCCCTTCCAGTACCACCCATGCTCCCTCCCAGAGGCAAATTATGATTTATATTGGGTTGGCCAAAAAGTCCGATTAGTTTTTTCCGTAAAATAAAAGACATATTTTTCCTTTTCAACAACTTTACTGATTTGGGTCTTTTGAGTATGTCAGCTATTTCCCACATGGAATAACACTGACTGTTCTTAATTGATGTTTCAATTTGATTGCTATCAACTTCAACTGGTCTACAGGACCAGGGAGCATCAGGGTTCAGCAAGAAATCTCCAGCAGGAAACTTCACAAACCACTTTGGATACATTCGATCAGTCACAGCACCTTCTACACTCTGTATAATTCACTTCTACATTCTGTATAATTCAGGGGCAAATTATGATCTCCCCTGTATGCTCTAATCCATATTTTTCTTATTCAAGGGGATTAAATCAGAGGCAAGGTAGATGATACCAATGGAATATCTGTTCTCCAATACCTCACTGCTGACCAGGCAAATCACTACCATTTCTCATTCTGCCACCCAACAAAGCCAACATGTAGGCTTCACTCAGATTGCCAACATATGCCACCACTAGGAACACTTTGTGGTTTCCTGAGCACCATAATACAAATTCCACAGCTGTAATAAATTTATTCTTTAAAAAAATAAATTGACTTAATTTTGGTTTAAGGGACTTAAAATGCCACTGTGTCCTTTAATTTGAAAGTCTGTAAAAAAGTGACAGTTAAACAAAGATTTTAAGCTGATATTCTCATTTGCACTCAGTTGGCTTCATGAAAAAAAATATCAGGGAATTTCTTAACAAAATCCAGGATTGTTTTTGACCACTGTAAGGATATTTGTTCACAATAAGTTAAGAGTCCACTGAAATTTTTGTAAAGATAGTCACAAAAGAAGTGATATTGTACTTCTGTAGTCTACATCTTCTATCTTCATTAGAAGTATGATCTTTGACCTCTTATTCTCATTCAAGATCTGAACTTAATTTTCTTCTGCCTACCATATATTCTGCTTCTGCTTAAATAATCTCTAACTGCTGTTTTACCTCAATGTTTGCACACTATTTACAATCATTATAAAAATTCTGAATCTACTGCTTAATCCATTTTCAGTTATTCCATTAGTTTTTATTTTACAATGCTATAATTTCTAACTTTATTGTATCTTTTTATCCCAAAACCATCAGAAAATAATAGGTGGTGACTGATGCGGAGGGAGCAAAAATACTAAATGCTAGTACTGACAATGATATACAGTAACAATTATTCTTGGTAACATATCTGCTCAACCATTGCCTCAAAATGCAAATAAACTATAGTTTTCCTTTTCCTTCATAAAAAGTAAACTTTATAAACTTTACCCAAAGGGGACTCCTAGGGTGTTAGTAATATTCTTTTTCTTAACCTAGGTCGTGGTAACAAGAGTGTTTTCACATTGTGATCATCCACGGAGCTACACATTTTTGTTTTGTGCATGGTTTTCTATGCATGCTATATCCCAGAGTAAAAGAGTATCCAAAAATAGCTTATCGTATAAAACCTCTGTGTGGGATGGGAAGAAAAACTAGATTGCAAAACAAGAAGAATCCAGAAATTATTATAGCAGAGATAATATAGGTTCAATTTGTTGATCATTATTAACACTGAATATTTTTGTATAAATTGATTATTATACACATACAACCAGCTTCCACATTTTAAATGCCAAAGGCACATACAATGCAAATAATATTTATAGAATAAAATATATTTCAGAGTAAATACAAGAAAAATTGTTTTGCTTAGTTACATCTTAGCAGGATACTTATCATTCCAAAATTTTCAAAGTTGATTAAGTCGGCTGCAGTAAATAAAAACAATTATTAATAAAAAAGATAAAAACTTTTCCTTAAAGCTTTTAGCAAGGATAGTTTCTTAGAAATAGCTTTGCAAAAGGCAAGAAAGTTTAAGATACTCCTTTTAAACTACAATTCTCCCTTATCTACAAAGGCCAGTTTGCACACATTACAATCTGAAAAACAGAAATTAAATTCAATTAGTTTTTGTCTCTCATTTTAGAAATAAAACCTCCCAAATAAAGTTATTCATTTGCAATATATCAAAGCTGAAGTTAAAGTTTACTTATACTTGCTACTCCTCTCAGTATTTACTAATAAAAAGTACATAAGCCAAAAAGCCATATAAGTAAATGTCAGAATCCTAAAAACACAGGTGTACCCTAGCACGCTTCCACTGCAGCTTCTCTGGGCAGAAAATGGATTTTAAACAAATGCATACACATTATAAAAGGCTCGCTATGTAGCAATGGTCTGAGGCTAGAACCACAGCAAGCAACAGTATGACTGCAAAAAGTGACAACTGCTTATAAAGATGTCCTGCCACAGAATGTGAAATAAGATATTTTATGATTTAAGGAAAAGGCATACAGAAAAAGCAACCTGCTTTAACTATTTCTCAATTTCAAAGTAAAATTGAACAAGCTCGGTTAAGGGTAAGAAAGAAAAAAATTAATACTTCATAAACTGAGAGTTCACAGGTATTTTTACCATCATAATTTTGAAGGCAGTCTTAACACTCCAAGAAAAACTACTAATAGTTGCAAAATCAGTTAAGAGAAAAAATGACACTTGGTTGATTACTGAAGTCAGGTTATCTCCACTATACTACACTACCTCCACCCTAACTTTTCTGTGTCCTGAGATGCTTCCATGTTCAATTAATTTATTTTTAGTAAAAAATATCAAAAAAGGCAGAAAAGGCAATCAATATTAAATTCTATATAATTAAATAACAATTACATTTACTTTTTATTATTTTTTCTAGTTTATAAGAAAAGATTTTTATACAAAAAGACTTGAATAGGTTTTAAGTAATAGAAGAAAACATCTGGTAAACAGTAAACATAAGAAACTTTATGTAGCTATGTTAATACCAGAGAAAATGAACTTAAAGACAAAAATATTACAAAAGACTAAAAAGGCATTTTATAATATTAAAGTGTCAACTCATCAGGAATATGTAATAATTCTAAATAAGTATGTACCTAATAACTGAGCTTCAAAAGACACGAAGCAAAAACTGACGGAACTAACATATTTTAATACTCCTTTCTCAGTAGTGGAAAGAATAAAAAGATTTTGAAACTTATAAGGATATAGATGACATTAACAAAACTATCAATTTAACCTTATTGATATTTATAGAATGCTATGACCAACAACTGCAGAATACACATTCTTTTCAAATTTATATGAAACATTTATCAATGTTCACTGTAAACTAGGTCATAAAATAAGTCTCCACAATTTCAGAAGATTTAAATCTTATAGGATATGTTCTCTGACTATCGCAGAAACAAACTAGAAACTAGTAACCAATTAGAAAGTAGTAACAATGTGATACCTAGAAAAAAATTAAAATTTAAATGGCATACTTTAAAATAACCAATGGATCAAAGAAGAAATCACAAGGTATATTTTAAATATTTCAACTGAATTAAAATAAAAATAGTATATTAAGTTGTGTGAAATATAATTAAGGCAGTAAGAGAGAAATATATGCCTTTAAATGCTTATATATTAGAAACAAAGGTTTCAAATCATCTCCCTAAAACATCAATGTCTTACTGAGTACCTACTAAATACCAGGAGCTTTATACTCGTTATTCTTCTCAGTATTTATTAACAAAAAGTACCAACCTATATATATACGCATCTACCATATATCTATTCAATTCTGAGAATAGAAATGAATATCTGTATCTACTGAACATAAAGTTCAGTAGAACAAATTACATCTGAAACATAATGTTAGGGTATGGTAAGAAACAGAACAGAGTAAATTAGTATGTCTCTACTCCCTAGAGAGGTAAAAAAAATTTAAAGATGAAGCATGGTAGAATACTAATACTACTGCTTACCAGTTTTGCTCTGAATATGTCTTTTCCCAGCTTCCCTGAAAGCAACCATGGCTCTGAAAAAAGCTCGGAGAACCGCCCATCGGAAAACAGCTACAGGATCAATTCCAATCATCCCAGAGATAAATGCATTCTTGCTACTTCTCAGGAGAGCTACAATGTCAGGGCGCATATGATCTGTATTTTTTTCCCGAAAATCCTAGATGAAAAAAGTATCAGTGTTATTCACGCACAAATAATGGGTGGTTATGTTTGAACAGTGGTTGAATAAGGACTATCAAAGTGATTTCTGTTCTAGGTAGCTAACTGGACAAAGTATTTTCTATAAAGTCCCACCCAAGCCTAAAACTATTAGATTCTATACTACATTTGAATTAGAAATAATGTTCCACAATTGTATTGCAACTTGTTAAACACTAGTCAGAGAGAGCCTCTCTAAAGGGATAGCATACAAAGTAACAAGAAAGCTGAGTAACTAAAAGGAACCAGACATTAAGAAGGTCAGGAACAGCATTCCAAGCAAACGGAACATCTTCACTAGGTGGTGATGAATTGATCAAGTTAAGAGAAAAGCATTAAGAGCAAGGACCAGAACATTCTGGGAAAGAGTAAGTGTAGTGGAATATTAGACAAATAAAAAGGATAGGTAGGCTACATAAACCTGAGTTAGGAGCCTGGATTTTATTCAACTGTAAAGGAAAGTCACAGGAAGGATAATGACATGGGCTAAACACCACTGGTTGTTGTGAAGGGAATAGAGAAAGGGAGACCAGCTATTGCAATATTCCAAATAGGAGCTGACAGTGACTGGAACTACGTTGGTAGTAAGTATAGAAAGGGAGAATAGTGAGCACATGTGTATGTTATGGAGGTAAAGCAAAGGACTAACTAGGTGGAGCAGGGTATGGTGAGAGAATGACAGAATTAGGTTAACATCTGTATTTGGGGTTTGAGTAACTAGGTGAATGGAGGTGCCACATACTAATATGGAGAAGAAGAGAAAAGAGAAAGTTTGGAGATAGGAAATGAGGATTAAGAGATCAGTTCTGGTTTGAGATGCTAAGAATATCATAATAACAAGTAACATTTATGAAGATGTTACTCTGTGTGTTGGCACTCTTCTATGCATTTTATATGAATTATCTCATTTAAGCTCATTTCATCCTTCTAACAATTCCTTTAAGTAGATATTATTCTTATGTCATAGATGAGGAAACTGAGTCACAGACAGGTAGGTTATCTCGGCCCCTGTCATACAGTAATGGAAAAAAAGAGGCTCAAACACAACCACTTGTAACTACTATAGACATCAAGTAGGCAGATGGATATATGTGCCTGGAGTCCTACAGAGATCCCAGAAAATACATGAGAGTATCATCTGCATTTTAATAGATGACTAAGATTACTAAAGAACCAGGAATATGGAGGAAAAACCCCTGCCAGAGCATGGATTGAGGCTGGAGGGGACAGAACACAAGAAAATAGATTAAAATACTCCACAGAAAGATAGGGAGGACAAAAAGTTTACAGGAAGAAGGTCCCAGACTGATATCTACAGTCCAGGTATTTCGCTGTAACCACACCCAGATGGAAGAACCGAAACTTGGTAAGTAAATCACTTCAAGTTCATGTAGCTTTACAAAATAGCTCTAACTCAGAATTATATTACGAGGAGCATGCCTAGTATAATGTTATCCACCCTCACATCCAGAAGTCAGTTGGACTCATCCAATTACCTTCAGGGCTTTCCTTTCCTAATTCCTCTTTCTTCACCCAGAGAACAGGGAAAAGGGGGAAATAAGCCAGATGTCTAGGTTTTTGGCTTGTCCCTAAATACCCTTTGAATAAAAGTACAGGGTCGGGGCGGGATGGAAGGGCAAAATTGGTTTACAGTTGCTCATATAGAAAATAATAACAAAACAAGAATAAACTCTGTGTTTTGCAAACTCACAACTGTAAATCCTACTTTTGCCCCATCTGGTATAAATTATAAAAGTCAGTGAAACTAAGTAAGAATTTTCTAATCCAGATCACCACCACTGCCACTACCATTACTGTCATAAACTAATATTTACCAATAGCAGACAAGATGCCAGGCACTATTTTAAGTACTTTACATAATCTATTCAATTCTATCAATTACTCAATAAAGTAGAATCAATTAAAAGCCATACTTCACTGATAAGTAAACAGAGAAGCATAGAACCTTGCCAAAGGCCAAACATAGTAAGTACCACTGCAAGAATTAAAACATCAATCTGCCCTACCCCAAGACCATCCCATCCTGTAACTATACTGTACAATCTAAAATTCTAGAATTCTTATATTCTATGATGACTGTCAAATGTTGACAGAGATCTGCATTTTCCAAACGTAACGGTCTTGTCTCTTTGTCTACATAGTTCTAGATTTCTAACTACATTTCCTATACTAGTCACATCATTTTTCTTGAAACTCTTTTCTCTTGGTTTTCTATAACAATATGTTTTGTGATTTACTACTTACATCTTGTACTACCCCTCAGTCCCCACTGCTGATCCCATATTAGAATCTCTTAGAGACTGAGCCTATGTTGTCTTACATTTTTCACTCAGTTAGCTTACATCAGGTGATCTCATTGATCTCAACTATAATGATAGTGTAAGCACTATCTATATGCTAAGACCCAGCTCAGATCTTTCTTATTAAGTCTGAGACACATTTACACATCTTAAAGGAATTGCAAACTTGAAAGAATGCATTCACCAGTGAGATGAGGTGGGCCTCATGAATTTGACAGAAAGTTTACAGCTACTGATTCAAATTATTTTAACAGACATGAGATATTCAGGTTTTCCTATATTTTCTGGTATCATTTATAGTAATGTATATTTTTCATGGAATTTTCCATTTTATCTATGTTGTCAAATTTGTTAGCAAAATATGTTCATATCCTGTTAATATCTATAGGGTATGTATAATTCAGTTTCCTTTTTCATTTCTTATATCTTGTAATTTGTGAGTCCCTTTCTTTCAATTATTAGTTATTTTCTATTTCCTTTACTTACATCATTTTCTCTTATCTTCTCAAGGAACTGACATTTGCCTTTGTCAATTTCTCTACTGCAGGTCTGCACCCTAATGCACTGAGCTCTGTTCTTCCCTTTATTATTTTCTCCTTCTAAATTTGGGGGGATTTAATTTGTTGATTTTTTAAAATAACTTTTTACTTTTCAATTAGAGTTAACATACAATTAGGTTCAGGGGTACAAAATAGTGATTAAATATCAATATAACTTACAAATAATCACACCAGTAAGTCTAGTACCCATATGACACCACATATAGTTATCACAATATTATTAACTATATTTTCAATACTGTACTTTATAACTTCTGTATACTTTTATAACTAATGATTTCCACATCTCAATATATTCGTATTTTTCACCCATACAGTCCAATGCCTCTCCCTTTGGAAACCATCAAAATGTTCTCTGTACCCATGACTTTGTTTGGTTTGTTCATTAATTTTGTTTTTTAGATTCTACACAAAAGTGGAACCACATGGAATTTGTCTTTCTCTAGCTAACCCATTTCACTTAGCATTATACCCTCTAGGTCCATTCTTTGTTGCAGATGGCAAGATTTCGTTCTTTTTATGGATAAGTCATAGATTCCATTATACATTTGAGGTCTGTCCGGAAAAAGTCCAGCCATTATTAACATAGTGAGAATGGTTTGCGCAACACTGATGTAACCTGGCACCCAAGGAGAGTGGACTGAAATGCACATGCGTGAACAATGATGACTTCACTGTACTGATCACTGGGGCGGTAGATGCCACTGAGTAAGCATGTGTACAATGTGGATGTCACATTAAAAATGACTGAGCGAGGAGAGCAAATGAATGGATCTGAATCAAATTTTGTGTTAACAAATCAATAAATGTAATACATCCCATAAACAATGCAGAAAACAAAAAACCACATGATCGCATCAATAGATGCTGAAAAAGTATTTAATAAAGTACAGCACCCATTTATGATACAAACACTCAGCAAAGTGAGAACAGACAGAGCATACCCCAACATAATAAAGGCAATATACAAGAAACTTACAGCCAACATCATACTCAATGGGCAAAAACTAAAAGCTTTCCCACTAAGAACAGGCACCAGACAAGGGTGTCCACTTTCACCACGTCTCTTCAACACAGTATTAGAAGTTCTAGCCACAGAGATGACAAGAAAAAGAAATAAAAGGCATCCAAAATGGAAAGGAAGAAGTAAAGCTGTCACTGTTTGTGGATGACATGATAATGTACATAGGAAACCCTACAGATTCCAACAAAAATTTGTTTGACCTAATAAATGAATTTGGCAAGACAGCAGGATATAACATTACCATTCAGAAATCGAAGGCATTTTTGTATACCAACAATGAAATATCAGAAACAGAAACTAGGAAAATAAATTCCATTTACTATAGCAGTAAGAAAAATAAAATACCTAGGAATAAACTTAACCAAGGACATAAAAGAGCTGTACTGAGAAAACTACACAACAATGAAGAAAGAAATTAAGGAAGACACAAATAAATGGAAACATATACCATGTTTATGGATTAGAAGAATTAGCATCATCAAAATGTCCATACTACCCAAAGTAATCTAAAGGTTCAATGCAATCCCTATCAAAATACCAATGACATATTTCAAAAATATAGAACAAACATTTCAAAAATTTATATGGAACCATAAACGACCATGAATAGCCTCAGCAATTTTGAGAAAGAAGAACAAAGTAGGAGGGATCACAATGCCTGATATCAAAGTATATTCCAAGACCACTGTAATCAAAAGTCTGGTACTGGCCTAAGAACAGACACAGAGAACAGTGGAACAGAACAGAGAGCCCAGCAGTAAATCCATGTCAATATGGTCAGTTATTATTTGACAAAGGGGCAGGAATATTAAATGGAGTAAAAATAGCCTCTTCAATAATGGCACTGGGAAATCTGGGCAAGTACATGCAAAAAGATTAAGCTGGACCACCAAATTACACCATATATGAAATAAACTCTAAATGGATAAAAAATTTAAAAAGAAGTAGTGATGCCATAAAAGTCCTAGAGAAAAACATAGGCAGGAAAATTTCAGCTATACCACGCAGCAATATTTTCACCAATAAATCCCCTAGGGCAAGGGATATAAAGGAAAGAATAAACAAATGGGACTACATCCAACTAATAAGCTTCTGTACAGCTAAAGAAAACATCAACAGAACGGAAAAAGAGCCAACCATATGGGAAAATATATTTGCCAATGACACTTCAGACAAGGGTTTGATCTTCAAAATATACAAAGAACTCACATGACTCCACACCAGGAAGACAAACAATCCAATTTAAAAATGGGCAAAGGACCTGAACAGGCACTTCTCCAAAGAGGACAAACAGAGGGCCTGGAGTCACATGAGAAAAACTCAACACGACTAGACAAAGATGGAAATTAAAACCACGATGAGATACCACTTCACACTGGTCAGAATGGCCATCATTAATAAATCAACAAACACAAAATTCTGATGAGGCTGTGAAAAATGGGGAACCGTAGTTCACTGTTGGTAGGAATGCAGACTGGTCCAGCCACTGTAGAAAACAATATGGAATTTCCTCAAGAAACTAGAGATGGAGCTGCCTTTCAATTCAGTGATCCCACTGCTGGGATTATATGTTAAGAATCCTGAATCACAAATTCAAAAGAACCTATGCACCCCTATGTTCACAGCAGCATTATTTATAATAACCAAGTGCTGGAAACAACCTAACTGCCCATCAATAAATGAGTGGATAAAAAAACTGTGGTACATTTACACAATATACATTTACTATGCATCAGAAAAAAAGGAGCTCCTATCCTTCACAATAGCGTGGATGAAACTGGAAAGTCTTATGCTAAGTGAAATAAGCCAGGTGGTGAAAGACAAATACCATATGATCTCATCTGTAAGTGGAACCTAATAAACAAAAGAAACAAATGAGCAAAATAGGACCAGAGACTTAGAAATAAAGAACAAACTAACAGCTACCAGAAGGTAGGGGGATAATGGGGAAAAGAAGAGGAAAGGGCAAGCCAAAGAAAACGAATAGAGGACCCATGGGCATGGACAATTGGGGGTAATTTACTGTGGGAATGGGGATGGATAGGGTGGGAGTGAGCAGTGGGGAAAAAGGCATGACAACTGAAACTGAACAACAATTAAAAAAAATAAACATGAATATGAAAATTTGCAAAAAAAATTTGCATTAAGCTTGAACATTAGCTTGGAAACTATTCGGATGACTCAGAAGGCTGCAGCTATGGGCAACTGGTGATTGGCAGCTTCATCACACAAATGCGCCCACTAATGCATCACATCTCATGCAGAATTTTTTGGTGAAACATCAAATTATCCAGGTGACTCAGATCCACTACAGCCCAGATTTGGCACTCTGAGACTTTTCCCCAAACTAAAATCACCTTTGAAAGGGAAGAGATTTCAGACTGTTCATGAAATTCAGGAAAATACAACAGGGCACCTGATGGCGAGTCGAAGAACTGTGTGAGGTCCCAAGGAGCCTACTTTGAAGGGGACTGAGGTGTCATCATCCTATGTACAATGTTTCTTGTATCTTCATCAATAAATGTCTCTATTTTTCATATTACATGGCTGGATACTTCTGGACAGTCCTCATATACATACAACATCTTTTTTATCCATTTGTCTATCAATGGACATTTAGGTTGCTTCCATATCTTGGCTATTGTAAACAATGCCACAATAAACACAGGGGTACATATGTCTTTTTGAACTAGTGTTCTGGGTTTCTTTGGATAAAAATCCACATGGAATTGCTGAGTCCTTTGCTGTTCTTTACCTAGTTTCTTGAGACAGAAACTTAAATAATTACTCTTCAATCATTCTCCCTTTCTAATATATGCATTTAAAATCAGAAATCATTGTTTCAAATGCATCCTACAATTTTCATAATTTGTATTTTCATTAATGCTCAATTTAAATTATGACTTTATTGCGATTTCTTATTTGACTCATAGTTATATAGAAGAACTGTGCTTAATTTCTAAACACCCAAAGACTATCTACTTATCCTTATGATATGCCAATTGGGTCAGTCATTTGAGAATGCTATTCAATTTTTTTGTTTTTGATTTCACGCCTGCTTATTTTGTTAGATTCCAAGAGATATTTCTTAAAATCTGCAACTGTGATGAAGGACTTGTTCTACTTCTGCTCTACTTTGTTTTATACATACTTAAATGAAATCATTAGGTAGTACAACTTTGATGATTATGCATTCCTATTGAACCAGCCCCTTCTATTGTTATGAAATGTGCCACTTTATCTCTATTAATACTTCTTGCCTTATAGTCTGCTTCGTCTAATAATGTAAATAAATACACCATCTCTTTTAGTTAGGGTTTGCATAGTGTATCTTTTTCGCATCCTTTTAGTTTCAACCTATGTGATAATATGGAGGAACGAATAATCACAGATACAAATGCATACACTATATGCTTCCATTTATCTAAAATTTAATAACAAGTAAAACTAAGGACAAAAAGTTAGGATAGTGGTTACCTCTCAGCCGGAGAAAATGAGTGGGGAGAGGCATGCAAGAAATCCATATACTTTAGATTTGTACACTATGCACCTCACTATATGATTTTAGAACTCAAGGGGTTTTTTTTGCTTTAAACCATGTTTTAAAATATTTTTAAAATTGAGGTATTACTGACATATAACATTGTATAAGGTATACAACATGTTGACTTGATACATTTATATGTTGCAATATGATTACCACTGTAGTAGTATTAACTAACATCTCCATCAAGTCAGATAATTACTAGTTCTTTTTGTGATGAGAACATTTAAGATCTAAACTCTAAAGAACTTTGAACACTGTATTATAATGTTAACTATAATCATAATGCTGTGTATTACCTCTCCGGAACTTATTCATCTGCTAACTACAAGTTTGAATTCTTTGCCCAGTATCACAATTCCCCTACCCTCTTGCCCCTGGTAAACACCATTCTACTCTGTTATTCTTAATGTTTGTTCTAAAAAAAAAAAAATGCAACTCAAATTCACCCATCAACTATAGCCAAAAGTCACTTACTTACCTAGAATCTATCAATAAGGTCTATTGATTATACCTCTGAAATATATCTCATAACCATCTAGATCTCCTCCAACTCTACTGCCATCCCTGTAATTCAATTTACCTTAACATTTCACCTCAGCAGTTTTAAAAAGTTATCTAATTTGATTTCCCAGCTTCCATTCCCATCCTCTGTTGTTCTTTCTCCTCACAGGAATCAAAGCAATTTTTAAAAAAAAAACAATTACATCTTTAGCTTTAAAATCTTTTCATGGCTCCCCATAATTTCAACAAAAGCCAAACTCACTTAACTTCATCTAGAAACCCTGAAGAATTAACTTGTGTTCCAATCTCTGAATTCATTTTATGCCACTAGATCCATTCTCACTATAATCTAGAGACATTGACCTGTTTTCAATTATTTTAACATATTAAGTTCTCTTCCATTTCATGACCTAGAATATTCATTATTTACTTCATTTATTTCAGGTCATCTCTCAAAATTTGAGTTTCTCAGAGAAATATTCATGGATCTACAAACTCAAAATCCAGTATTTCATTAGCTTCTTTCAAAGAACCCATTCGTTTATTTATAGCACATAGCCCCATTTATCTATATTATACACAAATACACATACACACGCACCTGTATGTACACATGGTATATGTATGTATATGTATATGCATTTAGAGAGCCATGAACCTTGTGCCTATTTTATCACTGTTCATTCAAACACCAAGCACAGGTTCTGACACAGGCTCTGTGTTTAATAAACAGTTCCTGAACAAGTGACTAAATTCTGACTCTCACCTCAAGACCCAGGGGAAAACATATTGCTCCACTAGGCTCCATATTGCCATTGCCTTGCCTGGGTAAGTGTCTTAAATGACAGGCTTAAACATCAAGTGGTTGAAAGTTAACAGCTCACTAATAACAAACAAGAATGGACAAAATTATGAAGATTTCCTTTCACAGGAGTTCAATACATATTCATTACAAGTCCAAGTGCACAGATACCTAATGGTGCATGAAGACATGAAGCCTCTATGAGGCCTCATGGATGTAGAGAAGAGAAAAACTCAAAAAAACTACACAAATCAGCTAGTGAGTTTAAGACATACTGATGCTATCTATTCTTTCACATCTCCAAAGGCAACTAGAATGGGCTGACATCAGGTTTATCTGTATGAAAAAATCAACAAAAACAACACCAAAGATAGTAATATATTACATGGTAGAACCTGAATTTTAGTAGTATCCTTATAATGATGTCGCTAATTGTTACTGATGAAGAACCTCCACATCTACAAAGAGGACAGACAGTGTGACATAGTTAAGAACAAAACTCTCCCCTAACAGCAGTGAAATTCACTGACCTTTACTCCATATTTTACTTTCCCGGCATAATGCTTTATGGTGAAAGCAGGCTCCATCACAGCTGGAAATTCAATGTAAGAATTCTCTTCATGTTGATGCTTAAATTTGTCTAGCAATGTTTGATTTGTAGCCTGTGGAAAGCTGAATTAAAATGCAAGCAAAGACACTTAAGTAACATGCTGTAGTTAATACCATCTTTTTTTTAAAAAAAATACATTATTTACGTTGCCATCTTAAAAACTTACCAAATTACAAAGAGTTTTCACTTATACTGCCTAAATTAATTCACAACAAAAGTGAGTACAACAAGAATTAGTGTCCCTATTTTATAGATGAGGGATCAAAAAGTTGTCATTTGCCCAAACTCACACTTTGAAAAAAGAACTAAAAAATTAATTCAGGTCTTTAGGTATTTAGCTTAAGCTGCATTCAGTTGCACTCCTATAAAACCTATAGGATAGTAAAAACCACATCACATGTTGTTTGGGGCCAAGAACATCCAAAAAGGAAATGATGTCTCAATTTGAATAAGTCCTTTATATCCACAGCCACTTTTGTTTTCTTATTGCTTCATATATAAAGTAGAAATTTTCTTGCTCATACAAGTTACTATATATTTTTATATTATAGCTAGTATTTCAAATATCAATGGGGTTGTACTCACTGATGAGCATTTCTCATCCAGGAATCAAATAATATTTATTACAAAGTAATTACATAATAGTAAATACAGGAATATAAAAGGTCAGAAGACAAAAACATCACTAATCATTGAGAATAATAGAAAGGTTCATCGGAGTAATAGGAGTCAAGTATGAGCTACATGTCAAAGGCTGGGTAGGAGCTGAAAACAGAAAAAAACAGTACTGAGAAAGGAGAGAACAAGTGTCTTTCATAAAATAGTTTCATTTAATAGCAGCTGACTGAAAAAATAAGAAGTAATGTGACATGAGTAAAGATGCTGAATATGAAATCTAATGTGGAAAAATGATTGCAAAATTATAACAAAAATGGTTAATTATGTAGTACATATTGGAATCAGAAAGGAAAATGGCCTTTGGTGTCAGTCATAGTTGTAATATAGGTTACCAGCTGTCTGTAACCTTGGGCAAGCTGGGAGGTAAATTTTAAGAATTGTTTCCTAATCCATAAAGTGAGTAAAATGAAATATCACAGTGCTATTAGAATTAAATAACACTAATCAAATATCTAACCCTAGCTGGTATCATATAAGGATGATGTAAATGTCATCTACTTATTTTGCCAACATTGCCATTTTCTTAGTCACCTAGGCCTGCTTTTATATTCAAATACAAGCAATTCTTCAAAACATCACCATCTGGCTCCTCCTTTCCATTTTAGAACTCTAAAGCCCTTCTAGAATGAATTACATTCAGAATTTCAAACACTACAGCAACAGCCTTAATAATAGTTCCAGTGGGTTCTAATCTTATTTCAAGTCACCACATCAAGATTCAAAACAAACTTCCTTACAATAGTACTTTAATCATGTGCCTCCCCTACTCAGGAAAATTTATGGATCACCAAGGCACACAGATGGAATCCAAGCTCCTAAGCCTAGACCACCCCAACCTCTGCAAACCTATGCCTCACTACTGAGACAAGAGATAAAAAGTTGGGAAAATTCCTTGGCAAGTGGAATAGAGAAGCTGAGACAGATAGCCTAACACAGTGGCCCAACAATTTACAGCCAGGTGCAGAGGGTCACCAGGGCAGAAGGCCCCCAGTGTCTGGCAGGGGGCAAAACTGGGAAAACAAGGATACCACCCCCAGGGTAAACATTACTCCTCTGGCCTTTCCTCCCTGGAGATAACATCAAGACCTCAGTTGTATTTCAGATGCAGATTGAGAAAAACAGCAAAACCAGGTGGGGACACCAGAACCAACTGCAATAACTAAAGACCCCCTGTCACTGAACAACCAGTGGAGTCCACAACCCTAAAAGGGCAACACTGGAGAATTGTGAATATTCTTCTGAAACCCTCCCTAGATCTGCTCTAAGATTCCCAACTTCAAGAAAGAGATAAAATACTCAAGACAAAGGACTGGGGAGCAGCCCCAGGCAATTCTTTTCCTTTGTTCTCCACACTCTTCTTTCTTCACAGGTAAGGTCTACTAAACTCTAAAGCAATGAGCAGCTAGCAGTTCATCCCAGGCTTATCCCCTAAACCAGTCCCTACGGCCCATTTTCTCTGACTCTCCAGTGAGCTAAGGCAGCCTAGCCTTGGCTCTCTTGTTGCTTCTTCCGTGCTAAGCCTTTCTTGCCACTTTCAGCAGACCCATTCTCTCCCTTGAGGCCTTGAGGATGTACTAATAAATCTCTTACTCATCCACTTTTCCCTCACTGATCTGTAATTCTTTACTACATCAGTGACAAGAACTCAGTACCAGTAACACAACTCTTCTCTTCAGGAAAGATGCTCACCTCGTTTTCTCTAGGTAAGGATTTATTTATCTTCTAATCCTCTGATAATCAAAATGCTTGTGATTTATTTCTCTGCTACTGTTAAATGGAGGAAAGAAATATTCAAAGAAAGGAAGACAGACATGAGAAGTGTTTATTCCAAAGGAAAGTTGTCCACATGTCCCGCACTCAACGGACATTTGTGGGTGCATGCTACATCATCAAGCTTGAAACAGAAACAAATCAGACATTACTGCTCATTCCAAAGCTCTTCATCTAGAATTCCCCCAAAGGCTATCTGCAAGGGCAGCCTTAGTGTTTCTATGCATATATTGTAGAAAGTACCTCTGGAGCTTTTAAAAATACCAATGCCTGGGCCCCACCTCCTGTGGCTCTACAGAATTGAAGCTAAGTAGTGCCCTATCAGTATTACTTACAGGTGCTCCAGGTAAATTTGATGAGCAGGCCGGACTGACAACACACCACCCTAAATGAATGCTCTGCTCTTTACCTTCAGTTTCTTAAAATTCAGATTCTGATTCATGAAATCTGGGGTGTAAGTGAAAGATTCTGCATTTCTAACAAGCTTCAAGAAGCTACCACTGTTGTTGTCAGCAGATCACATTTTGAGTACTATAGGATTGAAAACACTCTTAACACGCTATTCCTATCTGACTTTGCTTACACTATTACTCCTCTGAATTCCACACTGCACGCATCTTTTATCACATAGCTTTAAAAACTTGTCCAAGGTCAAATGGCCAGTAGGAAATTAGACACGATTAAACAAGATGTCTGATTTCAAACACATGCGCCTAAAGCACTATAAACACACCACATGAAAAAGGAACACCACTGAAGATACATTTCACGCAACATATTCTCTATATAACAAAATATTTTGAGGTAAAATACTCAGTTTAATGATTCCCAAAATGGCTCTTCCTGCATGTGACTAATTTATTGTCAATCCCTCCTTAAAGGTACATGCTTTGCATATTCTGGGATATTAAAGCACAGAAATGATTCATAAATTGAGGTTTGTTAAAATTTTATGGAGGACTAAATACAGAAATATAATTGAAGGGACAACTATCAAGAGGTTATTTAGTCTAGTCTCCCACCTACAATAATACCCTGATAGATGATGCAAACTAATTACTATAATGGGTAATTTTATTACTTTATGAAGCAGTTGCTAATCAGCCTTAATGATTAGAAACCTATTCCTTAAACTGAGTTAAAATGTATCCCTGTAATTTCTAGCCCTGGCTTTAACCCCACAAGCTTTTAGGTAACAACAAAGAGGTGACACTCTCTTCACTGGGCAATACTTATATCTATGTGAGGTACCATCTGTCCAGGGGAACAGTCTTCACATAAAAGACGTTCACTTGAAGAATGACAGGACAGACAAGACTCCTTTGCTCTACAATTATGTATCGACAATCTCAATTGCTGTTCATAACCAACTTAAGATATAGAGCAGACAACATTGCCATTTGTCATCATCATTTCCTTTTTCTATGCCAGAACACTGAGAAACAAGGACATTAAAGAGATTTTCCAGTTAATAGAGATAGGACACAAATCTGAAATTCTAAGTGTACAGTCTAAGTATTACTGGGAAGCAACATAGGACATACATTAAAGCACAAGATTACTAGTCAAAAATATCTGAAGGGTATATATCTTAGGTCTACCATTTATGACCTAAATAACATTTCTTGAATTGTTTCAAGTTTTTTGTTCTCTCTTCTTCTTTTAATCTTCCCCTGAGGACATTTTACTGATTTTAGACAGAGGAAGAGGAAAAGACAGGGAGACAAACATTGATGTGTAAAACATACATCTGTTGTCTCTCACACACAACACAATTGGAGACAGACCCACAACCCAGGCATATAATAATGATTTAGTGATAATGAACTCCTTTAGCTTTTTCTTCTCTGAGACATTCTTTATCTGCCCTTCGATTCTAAGTGATAGCTTTGCTGGGTAGAACAGTTTTGGCTGTAGGTCCCTGCTTTTCATGACGTGGAAAATTTCTTACCAATCTCTTCTAGACTGCAAAGTTTCTTTTAAGAAATCAGCTGACAGTCTTATGGGAGTTCCCCTGTAGGCAAATAATTGTTTTTCTCTTGATGCTTTTAAGATTCTCTCTTTATTTTTACTCTTGGCATTTTAATTATGATGTGTCTTGGAGTGGGCCTCTTTGCATCCATCTTGTTGGGAACTCTCTATGCTTCCTGGACTTGCATGTCTATTTCCTTCACCAAATCAGGGAAGTTTTCTTGCATTATTTTTTCAAAAGCATTCCCAATTTCTTGCTTTTTCTCTTCTTCTCTCATTCTGGAACCTCTAAAATGCTGTCCCCCAACTCTCATCATTAAGCCAGGTATTTCAGTTCCTCCCTATATACCCCTGGTACTTTTCAAGCTGCTACCCTGGTGCTGGAGTTCACAGGGAGAGAGTCTGACTAAATCCATGTGTGGGTTCTTTAAGAGGAACTGCTCAAGACTCAAGAAGTTTCTCCCACCAACTCAATCCCTGCTGGTTTTTACAGCCAGAAGTCATGGGGACTGTCTTCTTGGCCTTGGAACCCTGGGCTACAGGGCCTGGTGTGGGGTTGGGACTCCTTGCTCCCGAGATAGCCCTCCCGAACTTTTATTCACCACACATGGATATGTGACCAGCCTGTTCCACGTCTTCACCCCTCCTACAAGTCTGGAAGGATGTGGTTTCTTTAATTCTGGATGTAGTTGTCAGATTTCCATTCAACTCAATATCTGATGGTTTTGTGTGATGGTTGTTCTATATTTTACTTGTAATTTTGATGTGGTTGTGCAAAGAGACAAGAAGTGTTCGCCAACACCTCCATCTTGACCAGAAGTCTAGAATCTAGTCATTAACTTTAAATTGCCCCATACGAGCATGATGTATGAAAATTCTCCCTATGACAGCAAGTCCCCAATATTTTATATCCTAGTTTAATGGGTATAATATTAACCTAGATATCAGGTGATCTAATTGAATGTCTAAATATTTTACTAAAAAATCACAGAAAACACACACACTGTCCAAGACTTTGGTTTCTTCAATTCTAAATGTTCCATTTATTAAGATAATTTAACTATAAATAATACTTCACAGAGCACTGACAACACTCTGGAGGATGTTAAGTGAAGCTTTATTTCTGAAGCTTAGAGATAAGTTTGGTATATTAAGCTGTATTAATAAAGGATGGTAAATATTGGCATATGTCAGTTGTGGCAGCATCACTAATCTATCATGCTATGTTTTTGCTAAACATGAAAATAGCAAACACATCTCACACATAAACTCAATTCAAGAAAACAAGAACAGACAAACACAAAATGCATTAATGCCAACAAATTTAAGATCAAAGTAACTTTGTAGAAGAAAGCTAGACAAAAAAATTTTTAATAAGTTACAGAGGTCCACCCAATTTTCCTAGAAACACACAAATACATACACACATAAAATGCATACAGGGAAAACTTTGGCTCTTTATTTCATAATGTTAGAAGAAACCCAAGAGCAGAGACATAAAAAGCCCAAATGGCCTATAACAAAATTGAAAAATATCATACTCACTTGCTTTCTTCATCTAAAAGATGGAGGAGTCCCGTCGGTTTCTTGCTAATAAGATTTATACAACAGGTATTATCAATATAATCTATATTGTGCCAGCTGATACCTTCGGCTCTATATTCTTCCTAGGAAATAACAAATTAACAATTTATTCATCTTGCAGAAAATAATAGGTATATGATAAGAGGAACTGAAAAACTTTTAACAGGCTTGAAAACAATCTGAGGTTTTGTCTTTTAAATCACTAAAATACACAAAGACTGTAATTTCTCTTGTATAAAATCTTGATACAGTATATGTCTGTTTCCTTTAAAAAGTACATACAACCAAATATTTTTTATTAGAATCCTACTTGTGATACCACTCAGATCAAAATTTGGGGTTGAATTTGTTCATTTAGCCAATCTATCTCATGACTGCACTGAAGAAAAACATAAAATGAAGAAGCTTAATTTCTTCCATGTAATTCTAAATCATCAACATGAAACAAGCATTTGTTGCATCATCAACAATGAATTTAATAAAACAAAGTCTGGGGAAAGCGGAAAAGCAAGACCTCCAGTGATTACTGATATAAATCATATAGATTTCATTTAAACTTAACTTTAAGCCATATAAAACCCCTAGAATATTTCCCAAAAAATAAGGTTTCAAATTCCACAATTTAAAAACTAAAAGCTCAGGCCTTGAACAACTACTCAAAACCCTCTTACAATGCCCCTATTATTCTTTATTACCTCTCTGTACTGAAAAATAATTTTTATTCATCATTGTGATGCTTTTACTTTTCAACTCTTTCCCAGAAAGATGTCCCTGAGAATAGAAGGAGACAAGTTTCTATACTGCAGGAATATCTGGGCATCATGAAAATATTATGTTCACATGATGGTTTTAGTATTCACTGAAAACAGTTGCACACTTCTCTGCAAACCTGGCAATTATGTGAAATGGTGATTTGGGCATTTCATCATTCTTTCTATATTATTATCATCCTGTGAAGAAAAATGACCCTAATATAAATTATAATTATTCTCATGGGATAAAGCAAATGCTTAATTTTTTCTTTTAATTAAAAATTTCACAAGTTAAAAAAAAGCCACTTGACCAAATAAATGAATTTAGCAAAACAGCAGGATACAAAGTCAATATTCAGAAATCCAAGGCATTTTTTGTACACCAACAATGAAATATCAGATATAGAAATCAGGGAAAACATCCCATTTGATATAGCAACAAGAAAAATAAAGTACCCAGGAATAAACCTAACAAAGGAGGTAAAAGACCTATACTCAGAAAACTACACAACAATGGAGAAAGAAATTAAGGAAGACACAAACAGAAGCATGTATCATGTTCATGGATTGGAAGAATTAACATCATCACAATGACTATACTACGCAAAGCAATTTATAGATTCAATGCAATCCCTATTAAAGTACCCATAACATATTTCACAGATATAGAACATTTCACAAATTTATATGGAACCATAAACAACCCTGAATAGCTGCAGCAATTCTGAGAAAAAAGAACGAAGCAGGAGGGATTCACAATACCTGATATGAAACTGTATTACAAGGCCACTGTAATCAAAACAGTCTGGTACTGGCCTAAGAAGAGACACGTTGACCAATGGAACAGAACAGAGAGCCCAGAAATAAGCCCAAGTCTCTATAATCAATTAATATTTGACAAAGGGGGAAGAAGCATAAAATGGAGTAAAAATGGCCTCTTCAAAAAATGATGTTGGGAGATCTGGACAGATACATGCAAAAAAATGAAACTCGATCACCAACTTACACCGTACACAAAAATAAATTCGAGGTGGATAAAAGACTTAAATATAAGTTGTGACACCGTAACAGTCCTAAAGGAAAACATTGGCAGGATAATCTCAGACATTCCACACAGCAACATCTTCACTGTTATGTCCCCTAAAGCAAAGGACATAAAGAATAAAGAATAAACAAATGGGACCTCATCAAGTTAAAAATCTTCTGCATGGCTAAAGAAAACAGCATTAAAATGAAAAGACAACGAACTATATGGGAAAACATATTTGTCAATGATACCTCAGACAAGGGTTTGATCTCCAAAATGTACAAAGATTTCACACAACTCCATTCCAGGAAGCAAACAACCCAATTACAATGGCAAAAGACCTGAACAGACATTTCTCCAAGAGGACATACAGAGGGACCCAGAGACATATGAAAAGATGCTCAGCACCACTAGCCATCAGAGAGATGCAAATTAAAACCACAATGAGATACCACTTCACACTGGTCAGAATGGCCATCATAAACAAATCAACACACAAGTGTTGGAGAGGATGTAGAGAAAAGGGAACCCTAGTGCACTGCTGTTGGGAATGCAGACTGGTGCAGCCACTGTGGGAAACAGTATGGAATTTCCTCAGAAAACTAAAAATGGAACTGCCTTTAGACCCAGCAATTCCACTGGGGATTATACCCTAAGAGCCCTGAAACACCGATCTAAAAGAACCTATGCACCCCAATGTTCATAGCAGCACAATTTACAATAGCCAAGTGCTGGAAGCAGCCTAAGTGCCCATCAGTAAATGAGTGCATCAGACAACTATGGTATATTTACACAATGGAATTCTGCGCAGCAGAAAAGAAAGAAGGAGCTCCTACCCTTTGTGACGGCATGGATGGAACTGGAAAGCATTATGCTAAGTGAAATAAGCCAGGTGGTGAGGGAAAAATACCATATGATCTCACCTTTAACTGGAATGTAATCAACAAAAGAAAAAAGCAAACAAAATATACCCACAGACATTGAAATTAAGAACAACCTAACAATAGCCAGAGGGGAAGAGTGAGGGGACAGTAGGGGGAAGGGTTTTCAGGAACTACTATAAAGGACACATGGACAAAACCAAGGGGGAGGGTGTAAGCAAGGGAGGGAGGTGGGTTTGCCTGGGGTAAAGGGCAATCGTGGGGTGAAAATGCAGACAACTATTTTCGCCCCACAGTTGAACAACAATAAAGTAATTTTGAAAAATGAAAATTAAAAGTTCCACAAGTGAGACTTCTAGTCAAGATGGCAGAATAGGGATATGCAGTACTTTCACCTTCTCCCACTCCCACATAAAAAGTACAACTAAATTATGAAATGGCCATCATTGAGAACCATCTTTAAACTAGCAGAACAGAAGTTCTGTAACTAAAGATATACAGAAGAAGCCATGTCAAGACCAATAATAGGAGGGGCAGTAACACAAACACAGCTGGACCCATACCCACAGGTAAAAGTCAGGAGAAATCTCTTGGCTACAGAGGTCCCCCAAGGAGTGAGGGGTCTGAGCCCCACACAAGGCTTCCCAGCCCAGAGTTCCAGTACCAGGAAAAGAAGTTCCAATAACCTCTGGCTCAAAAATACCACCAGGGTAGTGGCTAAGTGAGACAAAGGTTCTCAATTCCCAGGCATTCCTGTTAAAGGGCCTACAAACATATTTACTTCCTGACAGACTCAATCACTCTGAGCTCCAGCACTGGAGCAGCAACTCAGTAAGTGCTAGGGACATACAGGGAGAAACTGAGTTTTCTGGCCAAGGCAAGGTTTGGAGAAGTAGCATTCTCCCAGACAAAGGTGCTGGTAAACTCCATTGTTCCTTTGTTGAGCACTCCCTCCACCCAACCTACATGTTCAGGTCAGCGCCAGTTCTGAATATCTATAAATTTGGCTAATGTCCTGCCTGCTGATCCCTGAGACCCCTCCCTACACAACTTACGAGCCCACCCAAGCCTCTTCCAGTGTCTTTCCAATCAGACAGCCTGTCTCAGCTAGCACTGGGAACTGTCAAAATCTTTCATAAGTTCCCAAAGCCCAAGCCCTGGATGGTGTGCCTCAGTAGATTGAGTACCAGCCTATGAACTGAAAGGTCACTGCTTCGACTCCCAGTCAGGGCATGCCTGGGTTGCAGACCAGTTGCCTGGCTGGGGTGTGCAAGAAGCAACCAACTAATGCTCCTCTCACACATTGCTGTTTCTCTACCTCTCTTTTTCACTCCCTTCTGCTTTCATGAGAATCAATAGAAAAAAATTTTTAAGAAAATCTATTTGAATATATAATAATGGAAAACTTCCCTAATTTGGCAAATAAAACAGACACACAAGTCCAGAAAGCACAGAGTCCCAAACAAGATGAAGCAAAAGAGGCTCACATCAGGACACATCATGATTAAAAAAAAATACCAAAGGTTAAAAACAAAAAGAAAATCTTAAAAGAACATGAGAAAAGCAGTTAGTAACCAACAAGGGAGCTCCCAGAACACTGCTGACTAATTTCTCAACAGATTTTTGCAAGCCAGAAAGGACTAGCATGAAACATTTAAAGTGATGAATGTTTTGTGCCAAGGACCTAGAACCAAGATTAATCTACTCAGCAAGGCTATCATTTACAATCGAAGGACAAAGAGCGAGCTTCCTAGACAAGAAAAAGCTACAGGAGTTCATCACCACCAAACCAGTATTACAAAAAATAAATAATATGAATAATAAAATGGCAATAACTCAACACTTATCAATAATCACTTTAAATGTTAGTAAATTAAATGGTCTAATCAAAAGTATAGGGGGACAAATGGATAAAAATACAAGACCCATATATATGCTGCCTACAAGAGACCCAATTCAGGTCAGTAAGACACATAAAGACAAAGTATAGGGATGGAAAAAGATATTTCATGCAAATAGAAAAAAACAAAGAAAAGCTGGGATAGCAATATTTATATCAGACAAAACAAACTTTTAAACAAAGGCTATAACAAGAAACAAAGAAGGGCCTGGCAATTCCACTCCTGGGTATTTATCCAAAGAAACCCAAAACACTAACTCAAAAAGACATAATCCCCTATATTCATTGTAGCATTATTTACAATAGTCAAGATATGGGAGTACCTAAGTATCCATTGATAGTCAAATAAATAAAGAAGATGGAATATGACTCAGCTTTAAAAAAGAATAAAATATTGGACTTCCTGTCAAAATGGAGGCATAGGTAGATATGCTTCACTTCCTCGCACAACTATAAGGATAACAACCAATCTAAAAACAAACAAAAAGAACAAACAGAAATGCCATAAAATCTAACTGAATGG